ATATAGCAGCATAGTTTCCCTTCTTTATCTTTAATAGTTATTATTAATATAAGCATTATCATCCTTAGAGTTACCATTATGATTACTACCAGTCTTATTGTCTTATTATAATAAGTATAATGAAGACAATAGTAATGATGATAAAGATGATGAATATGGTAGTGCTAATAAGAATGACGATAATAATGATAACGGTAATAATCATGAAAATAACTAATAACTACTATTATTTTATAATATCGATGATAATAATAATGATGATAACTTAGTCAGTGCACTTAGTCACAACAAAAACCTGAACAGGCACCGGATCGTGTAGGGAATCGCGTAAGGGAAGGTCGACTGTTATCGTTGTTGTTGTTGTTATTGCCTTTATTGTTTTTCACTTACTATTATTACTATTATCATTATTGTTGATGTTGTTGATATTATTTGGTTATTATCTTTATTATTATTTATTATTATTATTATCATTATCATTATTATTATTACTATTATTATTATTATTATTATTATTATTATTATTATTATTATTATTACTATTAATATGATTATTATTATTATCATTATTATTATTGTTATTATTTTCATTATTATTATGATTATTGTTATTATTATTATTATTATTGTTATTATTATTATTATTATTATTATTGTTATTATTATTTTTATTATTATTATCATGATCATCTTAATCATCATCATCATTATCATTATTATTACTATTATTATTATTAACATCATGATCACTATTATTGTTATCATTATTGTTGTTATTATTATTATTATTATTATTATTATTATCATTATTGTTATTATTATTATCATTATTGTTGTTGTTGTTATCATTGATATTATCAGTATTATTATTATTATTATTATTATTATTATCATCACATCATTATTACCATTATCATTATTATTTTCATTATCATAATTATTTTCATTATCATAATTATTACTGTTACCATTATTATTAATATTATTGTTATTATATCTTGTTATGTTTTTGTGAGTTTTTCTTCTCATTATTATCATTATTATCATTATTATTATTATTATTATTTTTTTACTATTATTATTATCATTGTTATTGTTATCATTATTACTATTATTATTATTATTATTATTATTATTATTATTATTGTTATTATTATTACTTTTATTATTATTATTATTATAATTATTATTATCATTATCAGCAGCAGCATTATTATTATTATTATCGTCATTATTATTAGTGTCGTTTTTATTATTATTATTATTATCATTGTTATTATTATCATTATCATCTTCATTATTATCATTATCATTATTATTATCTTCTTCATTATTATTATTATCATTATTATTACTGTTATTATTGTTATTATATTGTTTTGATAATTGTCATTACTGTCATTATTATTATCATTATCATTATTATTATCATTATCTTCATCATTATTATTATTATTATTATCTTCATCTTTATTATCATTATTATCTTCATCATCATTATTATTATCTTTAATATTATTGTTCTCATTAGTATTCTTGTTCTTGTTGTTAGTATTGTCATTATTACTATTATCATTATCATCAATACTATGATTAATGCCATCCTTATGATTATCATTATTACTACAATCGCTTTTAATATCTTTATGATTATCATTCTTAATTTGGGTATTATTATCACCACAGTTGTTATTATAATGATGATGATAATAATGATAATATTGGTAATGACAATAATATAATGATAATGATAATAATGACACTACTACTACTTATAATAATAATGATAATGATTATTGTAATAATAACAATTATGATAACGATTATGATGATAATCATGATAATAATTACTAATGAATAATGATATTGATAATCATGATACTAATATTAGCAATAATAACAATTTTGAGAAAAAAATAATGAAAAAAGAAGAAGAATGACAGATAATAATAGGGATAATTAATTTGATAATTATTATCATTATTACTTATCAGTGTTAATATATTTAATATTACTTTCTTTCTTATTATTGTCATCTTTATCATTGTCACTGTTATCCTCTTTTTGTTTCTTTTGGTCAATTTCATTTTCATTGTTATTATTATCATTATTATATCCGTAGTTATTATTATTATTATCATTATCATTATTATTATTATTATTATTATTATCTTTCTTGTTATTACTTTTCTTATTACTCTTAGTGTTAGCGTTATTATTATCATTATTGTTATTATTATTTCAGTTTCCAATATTGGCATTATTATCATTATTATCATCATTGTTATTACTATTATCATTATTATTATTATTAATATCATTATTATTATTATTATTATTACTATCATTATTATCATTATTATTATTATCATTATTATTATCATTATTATCACTATTATTCTTATCATTATAATTGTTGTTGTTGTTGTTGTTATTATTATTATTTATTATCAATGTTATTATTAGTGTTAACATTTTTATTATTATCATCACTATTCAT